AGACATATAAACAAAACCTAAACAAGATAGAGATTCAAAGGAGACAGCAGTAATAAACAAAGCCCTCCCGCTGCAGCAGGGGCTGACGCCGAAGCAGCAGCAAATATAGCAGCAGCTGCAGCAGCAAAAGGTGATGACGCAGCAGCAGCAGCAGGTGCAGCAGCACAAGCAGGTGCAGCAGCAGCAGGTGCAGCAGCACAAGCAGATGCAGTGGCACCAATCAGCTGCAGCAGCGGCAGCGGCAGGTTCAGCAGCATCAGCAGGTAGCAAAGCAGCAGCAAGTTGTAGCAGCAGCAGGTGCAGCAGCGACAGCAAACTGTAGTTGCAGCAGCAGCAGCAGGGGCCGCAGCAGAAGGGAGCTGCAGCAGCAGCAGTAGCCCTTACGTCTGGGTTTAGGAGTGCCTCAAACGCTTCTACCTCGAGGAGACCCGCAGAGGAGACAGGAGACAGCTTCATCTCTAGCCCCTCTTCATCCTGCAGCAGCCGCACCAACAAAGAAAGAGACGAAACAACAACTGAGGAGACACCTGCGATGAACGCGAGACACTCACTCCCTCCTCTGATGTGTCTCCAGCAGCAGCAGCAGCATCAGCAGCAGCAGAAGCAGCCAATACAGGAGGAGCAGCAGAAGCAGCAGCAAGTGCATATGCAGCAGCAGCAGCAGGAGCAGCAGCAGCTTCGGGTGCTGTTGTGAACTGTCTCTGACGCGCTCCCCTACACAAAGCGCCAGGGTGTATATGCCCTTAGGGTTTAGGGTTTAGGGTTTAGGGTTTAGGGTTTAGGGTTTAGACAGACGCGAAGGAACTCAAACACACGCAGCACTGCTGGGTGCTCGAGGCCGCAAGTGATGATATTTTGCTGTCTCTCTGTCTCTTTCACCCGCAGCTTTACTGCAGAGCGAAGGGCCCAGTTAATACTCTCTGAGGAGACACCAAGGAGACACAGAGGAGACACCTTAAAGACACCAAAGAGACACCAAAGAGTCGCTCAGAGACACCAAAGAGACACCGAAGAGACACTCAGAGACACCGCAGCGACTCTGCGGAGATACCTCAAAGAGACGCCTCAGAGACACCCGAGAGAAAGAGAGAGACAGAGAGAGAAAGAGAGAGAGAGAGAGACAGAGACAGAGACAGAGACAGAGCGAGACAGAGAGACAGACAGACGGACAGAGACAGACGCACAGAGACACCCCACAGACGGAGGAGCCTTAGAGGTAGCTCAGAGACACCTCAAGGGCAGCGCGGAGACACTTCATACAGCAGCAACGGGAGAGACAACCCTAAGCCCTAAATACAAATACCCCCAAAACAAATCAACAAAAACCGCATATCGCATATCGTAGCAGCTGCTGCTGCATGCAGCAGCAGCACATGCAGCAGCAGCAGAACATGCAGCAGCAGCAGCACATGCAGCAGCAGGAATGTGCATACCCGTAGCCCCACTGGTGAAGGTAATACACTCAGAAGGGGCCCCGAGAGCAGCAGCAACAGCTTCCCTGGCCCTCGCAACTGCTGCTGCTGCAGTGCAGCCTAAGGGGTGTTTGCTTGAGGGGTTTCCAAACTCGCCTGCATGCACGCATGCACCAATGCATGCATGCATGCATGCAAAGCCCCAAGGTGATGAGCCTCATCCCCAGGGGCCCACATCGGAGGCCCCTGTCTTTCTTTAGGTTATGCATGCTCAGGACAGCCTAAGCATTTGTAGTGGTGAGAGTGTTAGCGGTTTTATTACAGCATTTGTCTCTAAATATTTTAAACAAGAACATCAGAGACAGACAGAAGAAGAGACAGGAGACAACACCAAGGAGACAGAAAGAGATGGTGCATGCAGCAAAGCATAGCGACATAGCAATAAAATAATCATAAGCATTAGAGCAACAGTAAAAAATATATACACCTAAATATATAGATCTAAAACACGTAATGCAGTTAAACAAAAGAATAAATAATACCCACCAACAAAAAAATTAAAAAGAAACGAAGACAAAAAGATAGCAGCAAATCAAAGTAATAATATAATAAAACAAAGCGGTATAATAAAACAGAACAATAATAATAATAATAATAAACAAACATAATAATAAAACAACGATAAAGTAAACAAAACATTAATATCGATAAAACAAAAAAGTAATATAATGAAGAAAAACAATACAACACAGCGTAGCAGCAGAAATGGATGCAGCGCGCGGCCACACACAGCAATTAAATTTAATTAAAATTAAATTAAATTAAATTAAATTAAATTAAATTAAATTAAATTAAATTAAATTAAATTAAATTAAAGTTAAGAAAAATAAAAATAAAATACACCAGAGTAAAATAAAACGAAATAAAAACAAAATAAAACAAAATAAAACAAAATAAAATAAACTACAATAAAATACAATTAAAATAAAATAAAATAAATAAAATAAAATTAAACTAAACTAAACTAAAATAAAATAAAATAAAATAAATAAAATAAATAAAATATAATTAAAAAAATATATAAAATAAAAATAAAATAAAAAACATAAAATACAATAAAATACAATAAAAATAAAATAAAATTAAATTAAATTAAATTAAAAAACAAGAGACAGAACAGAAAACAAAATAAAATATAATAAAATGATATAAAACAAAACAAAATAAAACAAAACAAAACAGACAGATAGGAGACAGAAGCAGATAATAATAATAAAAAGTTAATAAGCAGCAACTTATATGAAATTGTTTAAAGTGTCTGCATACTTTGTAGAAAAGGAGACAGAGAGGAGAAGACAGCGGGGTGTACAGGCGTCGTAGCATTATAATCAAAGTATAAAGCTGTTGTCCCTTTGCTGCTGCTGCTGCTGCTGCTGCTGCTGCTTTTTAATGTGGTGTTTGAAGGGGTGTTTGTTTTTTTGCTGCTTATGCTGGCGCTCATGTTGCTGCTTATGTTTTTATTGTTTATATTTATGTTTATATTTATATTGATATTTATATTTATGTTTATGTCTATATTTATATATATAATTATAATTATTATTATGTATATATTTATATTTATATTTATTTTGCTGTCTGTATTGTTTGTGTTTGTAAGGTGAAGAGAATCCAGTAGTAAGTAAATTAATATAAAAGAAAGAAGAAGAAATATAAATAAATAAATAAACAAACAAACAAACAAACAAACAAACAAACAAACAAACAAACAATCAAACAAAACAAATATAAAACAAATGAAAGAGAGGGCAGACAAACAAAGCGAGAAAAAAAAGGAGACAGACAAACAAAGAGAAGAGACAGATGAATAAACAAACAAACAAACAAACAGACAAACGGACAAACAGACAAATAAATAAATAAATAAATAGACAAATAAGCTGCGTGGTGGGAGAACAGCAGCAGCAGAGGCTGCTGTTAAGACGGTGTTATTAAGAGACACCAGGCGTCTCCTTTTAAATAAATAAATGCAACAATAATATATTTAAAAGAATTAATATATAATATTTAGAGGAGACACTTCTTTTGCTGCTTCGCTCTCCCCCTCTGCTGCCCCTCACGTCGCCCCAACAGCAGCAGCAGAGCAGCAGCAGCAGGAGACAGCAGCAGCAATGTTATTTGTTCTGATGTATATGCAGGTGTGCGGTGTATATGCAGCTCTACTTAAGAGTATATTATGCTTATTGACTGTCTCCTTTTTACACACAGAAGGCGGCAGCAGCAAAGAGCAGCAGAAGGAGGAGGCCCCCCAGCAAGAACTGGCTAGACAGCTGATGTGTTGCTGCTGCTGCTGCTGCTGCTGCTGCTATACCTTATCTGTGTACACCTTCTTTTTATTTAAAGTTAATAAGAATTTATTTATTAAGAATAAAGAGCGTTCAACAATGACTGGCAGAGGAAGATGGTTGTTTCACTGGGAGCAGCAGCAGAAGCCACCACCAGCAGCAGCAGCTGCAGCAGCAGCAGCAGCAGCAGCAGCAGCAGCAGCAGCAGCAGCTGTTCGCTCAGCGGCGGCGGTGAAGGTCTTCTTGGCGCTGCGTCTGCCCCAGCTGAAGTTTTTGACTCTTTTAAGAAGTTTTGCTGCATTTTCTCTTTGTTTTTAAGTTGTCTCAAGCAGGAGCAGCAGCAGCAACAGCAGCAGCAGCAGCAGCAGCAGCAGCAGCTTCTCTGCTGTCTCCTGTCCAGCCCAGCGCCGCGCATCTCGCCAGACCCGGACTGTAGGCCTCGCTTAAAGAGTAATAGGGGCCCTTAGACAGTGTTTATGCTTCTATTTTATATATACTTACTCCTTGCTTTTCATAGAGTTAGAAGGGCGGCACAACAAAACAAAATAAAGCTCAATATACACCCCAAACACACACAGCCACATAATACCCCCCGGCCCACCGCACCACCGGAGCAGCAGCAAACAGCAGCAGCAGCAGCAGCAGGGACTTGCTGCTGCTCTTCTCTTTCCTTCATTCATCCTGCGGTCTTTCTGCTGCCTTCGAGCAGCAGCAGCAAACAGCAGCAGCAGCAAACTTCATCCTTTCCCGCCTCTGCTGAGTCCTCGACTCCCTCTGCTCCAGTAGAAGGTCACTGCAGCAGGCAGCAGCAGCAGCAGCAGCTGCTGCTGCTGCTGCTGTTGCCTTAACACAGCAGCAGCATCTCGAGCAGCACAGCAGCAGCACACATCTAGAGGCTAGAAGCCGCTAGTGGCCCCTTGCGGCTGCAGCGCAGCAGCTGGTCCACTGCTGCTGCTGCTGCTGCTGCTGCTGCTCTCATTTTCCGCTTTCCTGTTGTGTGTATCTGTCTGTACACCTTAACTGCAGCAGCAACTGCTGCTGCTGCTGCTGCTGCTGCTGCCCGTGGAGGAGCCAGTGGGCTCAGCACGGGCGCAGCCTCTCCTTCAGCTCTGTCTGCTCTTGTGTCTGTCTCCTTTGCTGTCTGTCTCCTTTTCTTACTGTCTGCTGTCTCCCTGGGGATCGTCGGGATCGTCTTCTCCCCCCACCCCCTGTGTTGGTGTGGGGTGCGGGAGGCCCCTGAGGAATGGCGCAGACCCTTGCAGCTCCTGAAGGAGACAGTCTCCCTCAGGACGAGGAGCAGCAGCAGCAGCAGCAACAGCAGCAGCAACAGCAGCAGCAGCAGCAAGACGAAAAGGAAGAAGAAGAGCAAGAGAGCTGCTCTTGCGGCGTCACTACCTCAGCAGACAGCCCAGGAGATCCCTCCTCCGCAGAGTTGCACGGAGGCCCCTGTGGGGCCCCAGCTGCTGCTGCTGCTGCTGCTGCTTCTGCTGCTCCTGCTGCCGCTCCTGCTGCTGCAGCTGCTGGTGCAGAGATGGCTGCATCGGGAGACGGCTGGGCAGCTGCGCTGAGTGTAGCCATCCCTCGAGGGGTTTGTGTTGATAAGGGCCCCCAGCAGCAGCAGAGGAGACAGCAGGAGGGGACCCCGGCTGCTGCTGCTGCTGCTGCTGCTGCGGGTGGTGCAGCAGCACCACCATCATCATCAGCAGCAGCACCTGCTGCTGCTCCCACTCCAAGAGGCCGCAGCCCCAGCCCGGATGCTGCAGCAGAGGGGCCTGAAGGCTCTGATAGAAAGGAGACAGTGCAGCAGGAGACAGTGCAGCCAGACACGAAGGAAGGAGACACTTCATCTGTGTCATTAACTGGGGTGCTGCCGAAGCAGCAGCTGCAGAGGAAGGGGAGCAGAGGAGAGAGAACGCCCAGAGC